GGGGAGGAAGAGGAGAAGGAGGAGGAGGCGGAGGAGGAGAAGGCGGAAGCGGAAAAGGAGGAGGGGGGGGAGGGAAGGAGGGAGGGAGGTAGGAAGGAACGGAGGGAGGGAGAGAGGAGGAAAAGGAGGAGGAGGAGGAGGACGAGGAGGAGGAGGGTGACGAAGAGGATGATGAAGATGATGATGATGATGATGATGATGATGATGATGCTGATGATGATGAATCACTCGCCAAGCATACCCATACTAGTGCAGCATACGAGGCATTCTTGGTACACCCGCCTCAGGCTCGCCTGACAACGGACAACCGCACCAGGGTCGCCGAGAAACAGTTGACTGCGCAACTTTCTTTGGTTCACTTTCTGGTCCAGGACTGAATATGCCCACTCTTTCGGGCACCCCTGGTCCAGTCCGTCTCCAGCGTTTCGGCGTGTGGTTGGCTATCCTCTTCAGGACCTGCCACAACCAACCACACGGGACAGGCCGACGCTATCACGAACGACGCCTCTGTTTCCGACTGTGCGAAAACACCACGCGTACCTCTTGAATGCAAAGATACACTGTGTTTGGCTGTGTTCTGGGACTCCTTCGTACACACCAGAATTGCCAGAAGATGTCAAACCAGGCTCTGGGAACCTGCTGATTTGGCCTTCGAAGAAGGGAGAAACCCCCCCCCCCTCTTTCGAGACACCGCCGGCAACCGCAGCTGAGCCGGGCGATCGCCCCGTTTTCCTTCAGCGGACACTAGCCATGGCCCAGGGGTGTTAGCCACCCGATCCCTGCGTTAGGCGCTCGAGGGTAATCAGAGCGCACCTGCGAAGCCCCTTTTTTGGTAAAGCCACCATTGCTACCTCTCTGACTGCTGGGAAAAGGGCCGCACCACCGAAGACGAGCTCCTGGAGAGACTTTCGGCTGATAGCCAGTCATTCGCCAAGCATATCCATAGTAGTGCAACGTACAAAGCATTCTTTGTACACCCGCCTCAGGCTCGCCTGACAACGGACAACCGCGCCAAGGTCGCCGAGAAGCAGTTGACTGCGAAACTTTCTTTGGTTCACTTTTTGGTCCAGGACTGAGTATGCCCACTCTTTCGGGCACCCCTGGTCCAGTCCGTCTCCAGCGTTTCGGCGAGTGGTTGGCTATCTTCTTCAGGACCTGCCACAACCAACCACACGGGGCAGGCCGACGCTGTCACGAACGACACCTCTGTTTCCGACAGTGCGAAAACACCACGCGTACCTCTTGAACGCAGTGATACCGGAGAGGAACCCCAATCAGATGTTTGTTGGGGCTCTGGGGCTATAGGGCTATAGGGCTCTGGGGCTATAGGGCTATATGGGCTATATGGCTATAGGGGTATAGTGCTATACGGCTATTGGGCTATTGGGGCTATAAGACTATAGGGCTATAGGGCTATAGGTTTTTAGGGCTATAGAGCTATAGGGCTATAGTACTATAGAACTATAGGGTTCTAGGGCCCTAGAAATATAGGGCTCTAGGGCTAGTGGGCTATAGGGTTATAAAGTTATATGGGCTATATGGGCGATAGAGCTATGAAGCTATAGGGCTATGGCTACAGGGTACCCGGGCACCCCCGGGCACCCCCGAGCACCAAGGCACCCGGGCACCCACGGGCACCCGGGCAACCGGGCACCCGGGCATCGGCCACCGAAATCACATGGGACACCGGGCACCCACGGGTACCCGGGCACCCGGACACCCGGCCACCGGCCACCAAATCGGCGCCCCACCTCACATGACCATATGAATCCGCTAGGACCCCTACAGAGGCAAGCTCTGATTGGGGAAATGCGAAAACACCACGCGTACCTCTTGAATGCAAAGATACATTGTGTCTGGCTGTATTCTGGGGCTCCTTCGTACACACCAAAATTGCCAGAAGATGTCAAGCCAGGCTCTGAGAACCTGCTGTTTTGGCCTTCACAGAAGGGAGGAAACAACTAGAGGAGGAGGAGGAGGAGGAGGAGGAGGAGGATGAGACAGCGGAGGAGGAGGAGGAGGAGGCGGAGGAGGAGGTGGTGGAGGAGATTCAGGTGGGAGAAAGGAGGAGGATGATGAGCGGGGGAGGAGGGGGAGGGGGAGGGGCAAGCTAGGTGCGCTCGCGTCCTATCTGACGTTCTACCCCTCCCGCCCATCCCTTACCATGGCGCTGATTTTCTCTATCCGCGGACGCGTGTCGTAGCGGACCTGTGGCTCCGCGCGCGCGTGCGTAGTGGGTGGTGGTGCACGTGCGTGCGTGCGTGCGTGTGTGCGTGGTTGTGGTGGTTGGTGGTGGTGGTGGTGGTGGTGGTGGTGTGTTGGTAGTGGTGGTGGTGGTGGTGATGGTGGTGGTGGTGGTGGGTGTGGTGGGTGGTGCTGGTGGTGGTGGTGTTGGTGGTGGGTGGTGGTGGTGTGGTTGTGGTGGTGGTGGTGGTGTGGTGGTGGTGGTGGTGGTGGTGTGGTGCTGGTGGTGGTGTTGGTACTGGTGCTGGTGCTGGTGGTGGTTGTGGTGGTGGTGGTGGTGGTGGTGGTGGTGGTGGCGGTGCGGCGCGGTGGTGGCGGGCGGATGGGCGCGCGAGAAAGAGGCCCGCGCTGGGGCGAGAACGCCATCCTGAACGACGGAGGCCAAACACCGATCCGAAAATGAGGCCCACGCTGCAGCGGGAGCACGATTCGGAACGATTCGGGAGCAGAAATGAGGCCGGCGCCTCAACGAGAGCAGCATTTTGGGAAAAAATGACGCCGGCGCCTCAGCGAGAGTCGTTTCCCGGGATTTCCCGGGCATCCTGTGTGTAAAAAAACAATACGCGGAGGGTGCGCGGCCATCACCCGGACGCCATCAGGGGAAGGATTCGGGAGCAGAAATGAGGCCGGCGCCTCAACGAGAGCAGCACTTTGGGAAAAAATGACGCCGGCGCGAGAGCAGCATTTTGGGAAAAAATGACGCCGGCGCCTCAGCGAGAGTCGTTTCCCGGGATTTCCCGGGCATCCTGTGTAAAAAAACAGTACGCGGAGGGTGCGCGGCCATCACCCGGACGCCATCAGGGGAAGAGGGAGAGTATATTCATATTGAGTAATTGTGGAGGGGAGGGGGAGGGGGAGGGGGAGGGGGAGGAGGAGGAGGAGGAGGAGGAGGAGGAGGAGGAGGAGGGAGGAGGAGGAGGAGGGAGAAGGGAGGGAGGAGGAGGAGGAGGAGGAGGAGGAGGAGGGGGAGGAGGAGGAGGAGGAGGAGGAGGAGGAGGAGAAAGAGGAAGAGGAAGAGGAGGAGAGGAAGAGGAGGAGGAGGAGGAGGAGGAGGAGGAGGAGGAGGAAGAGGACAAATAGATCGCCTCACTTCGAGCGTCGCGCCCCGCGATGCCCAGCGCGCGGTCATCGTCACGCCATCGGCCTAGCTTGAATAGATCCCCTGGCTTCGCGCGTCGCGCCCTGGGATGCGCAGCGCGCGGTTATCTTCACGCCATCTACCTCAAGTAGATCCCCTAGTTTCGCGCGTCGCGCTCCGCGATGCGCAGCGCGCGGTTACCTTCACGCCATCGGCCTACCTCAGGTAGATTGCCTAGCTTCGCGCGTCGCGCCCCGCGATGCCCAGGGCGCGGCCATCTTCACGCCATCGGCCTAACTTCAAAAGATCCCCTAGCTTCGCGCGCCGCGCCCTGAGATGCGCAGCGCACTGTCATCTTCACGCCATCGCCCGACCTCAGGCAGACCGCCCAAATTCGCGCGCCGCGCCCCGCGATGCGCAAGCCCAACGCGCGATGATCCTCACGCCACCAGCCTGCCTCTGGCAGGCCGCAGCGCCCCGCGCGCCGCGCCCCGCGGTGCGCAGGCGCAGGGCATTGTTGCCTTCGCGCTACCGGCCTGCCTCGGGCAGATCGCCCAGCTCTTCGCGCGCCGCGCCCCGCGGGGCGCGGCGCTCTGCTCTCCTCACGCCACCGCGCTGCCCCACAATGAAGGGGCCCCAGGACACACAAACAAATACACACAGATAAAAAGGCTCCCCATATCTTCCCATACTTTCCGGGGTTCTGTCTTCCCCCCCACTTCCCATATGTTCCTATATTTTCCTAGGAATCGACGATTAATTGTGTCTGTGTGTTTTTTCCTCTCCTGACACAAGGGCATCCGCTCCGGCCCGGGCCGCGGCGCCCTGCGCGCGAGCACCCTCCGCGCCCCCCAGCGGGGCGGCGCAGAGAACCACCGCGGGAGGAGCAGGCGAGCGCGGCGACCGGCCGCGTGCGGCCCCAGAGGGCCTCGGGGGCGGCCCCACGGAGCCCCGCGAGTGGCTGCGAGAGGGCCCCCCCAAAACGAGCCCCACGAGGGGGGCAAAAACGGTTCACGTCAGCGCTGTCGTGTTTTTTTTTTTTTTTTTTTTTTTTTTTTTTTTTTTTTTTTTTTTTTTTTTTTTTTTTTTTTTTTTTTTTTTTTTTTTTTTTTTTTCTGGGCTCCCGACCGCCCCAGAGGGCCCCAGGGCCCTCCCGGATCGCCCCGGGTCGGCCCACAGGGCCCTGGAGCCCGCTCGCGCTCCCCGGGCCGTCGCCCCTGCACTCCTTTTCCGACGCTGCAGCCCGGCAGGGCCTCTTTTTTGCCCCCTCGTTCCCCTTGGCTTGCGCCCCCTCTGACCCACGCGAGAGGGCGAGCCGAGAGCTTGGACGCCCGAAATGGGTGCGGAAGGAATGGGCACAGTGCCCAACAGCAGTTCCTGTTCATCTTGACCAGGGTCCGCTGTCCACGCCGCCGCGGCCTGTGCTCGTTCGAGACAGAAGGCCGCCTGCCCAACAGCGGCCGCTGTTGGTTTGGGACAACATTTGTTGTTGGGCATTGTACCCATTTTTTCCGTACCCATTTCGGGCGTCCAAAGACAGAGGACGGCCGCAGATGGGAGGAGCAACAGAAGTCCGGCGGGCGCGTCAACGACACACGGGCGATCCCGCATCCGCAGAGACGGGTCTCCGAACGGACCCGCGCGCGGTTCCGACGGCACGCGTCCGAGGCCCGCGCGCCTACGTCCGCCATCTCCTCGAAGTTCCAGGTGCCCTGGCGCGCAGAGGAGGCGGAGGGGTGGCATATGTGTTATGCTTGTATATATACGTACGTACATGCATGCATGCATGCATGCATGCATGCATACGCGCATACACATACATACATATACACACGCAACCATACATGCATCCATCCATCCATCCATCCATCCATCCATACACACATACATGCATACACACATACACACATACACACATACACACATACACACATACAGACACACACACACAGACACATACACATACACATACACATACACATACACATACACATACACATACGCATACACATACGCATACGCATACGCATACACGTACGCATACGTATAGACATACATATGTACATACATACATACACGCATACATACATACATACATACATACATACTTACATACATACATGCATGCATGCATGCATACGTACGTACGTACGTACGTACATACATGCACTACATACATGCATACATACATGCATACATGCATTCACACATACATACACACATACATACATACATACATGCATACATACATATATGCATGCATGCATACATGTATACATACATACACACACATAGATACACACATACATACGCACATACATACATACACACACATACATATATACATATATACATACATACATATATACATACATACATACATACATACATACATACATACATACATACATACATACACACATACATACATACCTGCATGCATACATGCATACATGCATACATACCTACATACCTACCTACCTACATACATACATACATGCATACATACATACAGACATATATACATACATACATGCCTACATACATACATACGTACGTAATGCATGCACACATACATGCATGTATGCATACATACACTTATACATGCGTACGACCATACATACATATGTGTACACACATATGTATGTGTGCATGTGTACAATTTAATTATATATACATATATATTGGTCCCAGGTGACATGCGCTCCAAATCTGAGGGCCCTATCACGAAGAACGCAAGGGTGCTTCACCAAAGACAAAGGTTGTTCTTAACCCTCGTGCCAGCAGTAGGAGCATGGGCAGGGTGAGCATGGGCACTTCGGGGCCCTACGGACGGAAGGCTAGAGATGGCAGAAGCAAGACGGGCCACGACGGCAAAGGTGCCTCAACGCCTGGCCTCCAGGGCCCAGGCAAGCTACACGCAAGGAGGAGCACAGGCGGGAGGGAGGAGGGGGGGGAGGCTTACGCCGGGGCGGAGGACACGGAGGTGTCGGGGGGACGAGGGCAGGAGCAGGAGGCGAAAGCGGCCGAGGAGGAGCCCGAGGCGGGAGTGGAGGAGCACGTGACCAGAGGACAGGGCGAGGAGGGCGGGGCGCGAACGAGCTGACGAACGGACATGCGAGACCGCGAAGAGACATGGCCGTCGAAGAACGCGGCGAGCGGGCCGGAGCCTCCGGAGCCAATAGCAAGCGTAGTCTTATTGGATGTTGTCGGGGACGTGCTGTAGGAGCGCGGGGGGCCCGTATCTAATGTCCAGCGGGCGCGCGAGCCATCAGTTGATCCTAAATGCCTAAGTTTTCAATCGTTCTGCAAGCCGATTTCATCGCCAAGCGGTTCCCCCGTCAGGTCCACGCGATTCGGTCTTCTTGTTTCTTCCGCCCCCCCCCCTCCCTTCCCCCTCCCCTCCCTTCCCCCTACCCCCCCTTCCCTCCCGGCCGAAATCCATGCCTGGGCCGGGCGGGCCATGCTCCGGTTGGACGGGCCACCGCGCCCCAGCAAAGTCGGATCACGCCCCGGTGGGGCAAAACCCTCCAAAACACCACGCGCGCCCAGTCTGAGGATGTATTACGGTTCCTTAGGATTCTTTCGGATTTCTTCAGGGTTCCATTGAATTCGTGTCAGGATTCCCGAGGATTTCCTCTGGATTCAAATTCTGCACATCCTGCGGATTCCTGAGGATCCTTAGGGGTTCCGTACGAAGCCTGCGGGTTTTTTAGGATTGTGTCGGATTCCTTGGGAGTTTTGGGGAATTGTAGGGTTGTTTCTGATGCTGTTAGGGTTATGTACGGTCCCTTCGGGAATCGTATACGGTTCACAGAAGAATCGCATGCGATTCACATAATAATCGCAAACGAACCACCTACGGATCGTAGACGGTCCACATAGGAATCGCAAACGATTCACATAAGGACCGCGCGCGATGCATATAGGATCCACCTACGGTTCGCATCGGAGTCGCTGCGATTCACATAGGGATCGTACACCACCCACATAGGAATCGTACACGATTCGATTCGCAAACGGTTCGTATTCACATGGAAATCGTATGCGATGCGCAACAAAAAGCGTATACGATACACTTGGGATCTGGATACGATTCACATGGGCCTGTGGGTAATGCACATGGCAATCGTATGCAATTCACGCAATAACCGTATACGAAACATACGACTCATATAGCACGCATGTGCGTTTCACAGGAGTCGTTCCCGCTTCACACTGCAGTCGTATACGAGTGGCACTGGTTTCGTATACGATTCACATCGGAGTCGTATATGATTCACACAGAGACCCCATGCGATTCACATAGGGGTCGTAGACGAGTCACATCGGCGAGTAAGGTTCACGGAGGGATCGTGCACGATTCGCATCGGAATCGTACACGGTGCAAGTAGGAGCCGCACACGATTCACATAGGAGTCGTTTAAGATTCGAAAAAGAATCGTATACGACCCACATCGGAATCGTATACGCTTCACATCGGAGTCGTGTATGATTCCTGAACAATTACCCTGCGACGTGCCCGACCCACGCGCATCAAATGGCAAGAGGAGTATGCCAACCTTAGCAGGAACAACGACAGTGTAGACGCGGCGATTTGCTGCGCAAGCTACATGGGATGCGCATGCGTTGCACGATTCACAGGACGACGATCGACAGAACGAGGCTTGAGGCCCCAGGATCGAAGAAGAACGGGCACGGGAACGAGGGGTAGGAGAGGGATGGAATGGAGGGCGGGGGGGGCGAAAGGCCATCGCGGAAGCAGCAGCGTGCATGGAGAAGGTGAGGCGGGGAATAGGACGACGATGAAAGTGGCGGGAGGAGACAGAAGACTGCCGCGTTTTTCAAGCGCGAGCTAAACCCGCAGCGCTGCCTGCGCCATGTCGTCGCAGAGTTCCACATGATAAAACTAGTTTAGAGTGCAAGGAACGAGCGAGGCGTAGCTCGCCCGCTAGCTTCTCCGCCTCCTTCCCGCACATTTCAGCGCGGGAGCTGAACGCTCGCAGGCGCGCCGCCAGGTCTGCGGGCGGCCCGCGGGAAAGAAACTCAAGGCCGGGGTCGCGTATCATCAATCGGTTGTCCATCGTCCAAAGTTGCACTGGCGACGTACTGGTTGAACGCGGAGCGAGCAGCATCACGCGCGCGCCTGAACGCCACGCAAGTACAGTGCACGCGCGATTGGGACTTCAGGTCGATCACGCGCGTCTCCACCAGGCTTGGCAACACCACGCGACTGAGGATCTCACTGCGGTCTGCCATGCTGCTGTCCGCGAATGCAATGCGCTGCCTGCAAGTAAGGCGGCGGCGTCCACTTGTCTCAGAAGATGTTCCCGCGGGCCCGAAGGGCGACCGCCAGCTCGAGCCGCGGCGCCGGCAGGCCAGATAAGGATCATGCAACAGCAAAGACGATGACAGAGCAACGAGGTATCGGCGAGTGCATGACCGGCCTCCGTTTCCTGCACTTCTTTCCTGTAGTTCCCCTAGCTCATCGAGCTCAGCAGATGTTTCTGCGGGTCCGAAGGACGACCGCCAGCTCGAGTCGCAGCGCCGACGAGCTGCATCCACATCAGGCAACACCCCAGGAGACACTGGCACACAACGATTTGACGTCAGTCAGTGCCAGACCACTCCATGTCTAGTTCCTCGCACACATACAGTCGATCGCAGATGCGGGATAATCGAAGTAGAATGACGGGTCCAATCTGCGTCCGCGTAGGACGTCACTATGCTGGACCCCGCAGCAGGTCTCGAAAGTGGCGACAGTTTCATGGGCCCCACAGCAGCCCTCGAAAGTGGCGACAGTTTCACAGATCGCAGCCCCCCAAGGATGGCGAGGTCTAATCTGAATCCCCGTAGGGCGTCACTCCGCTGGGCCCCCCAGCAGCCCTCGAAAGTGGCGACAGTTTCACAGATCGCAGCGCGCCAGAGAGACGAAGAGGGGAGAGAGGAGGCGGGAAGGAAGGAAGGAAGGAAGGAAGGAAGGAAGGAAGGAAGGAAGGTGGAGACCGCAGTGCTCTATTCAACACGAGTACCCAACGCAGGAGGGTTGGGAAAAAACGCTTGCGATCCACACAGGAATCTCATACGATACACATGAATGTGTATACGATTCAAATTGGAGACGTATACAATTCATATCAGTTTCGTCCACGATGCACATAGCATTCGTGTGCCATAGGAGTCGTCGACGATGCACATTGGCGTATCTAGTCTCATAAGAGTCAGATGCGATTCGCATTGTAATCGTATACGAGTCACATCGGACTCGTATACGTTTCACATAGAAGTCATAAACGACTCACATATTGTACTCATATGCGTATATATATATATATACAAGACTGCATTGGCGCTTCGCGCCATGCACCTTGGTTCTTGAAGCTCGGCATGCAGGAAGGCCAAATATAGCTATGATTCATTGTTGCCGTTTGCGCCATCGTCGTTATAGTAATGTTATGTACTATCCTTATACTTCCTCTCCTCTTACTCGTAATCTTCCTTGTCTGCGAGCCACTCCTTGTCCTCATCCCCAGTTTTTATTGCAGGGGCTCCTCTTTGGAGGTGTTCCTGGGCCCCTCTCAAAAGCTTTTTGGGGACCTCTGGGGGCCTCCTGGGCGCCTTTTGGGGGCCTCTGGGGGCTTCTTGCGGCCACCTTGCTACCAACCACGGTCTCCCTGAACGACCGGGTCACGATTTGGAGTGCTTCGGGAGGCGTCTTGGGGCCATCTGGGGCTGTCAGCGGGGCTCTCTTGGGGCCATCTTGCGGCCCTGTTGGACCATATTGGGGCTCTTTTGGACTGTCTGGAAGCCCTTTGACACCGTTGTGGGAGGATTTTTGGGGCCTCTTCGGCGGACTCGGACGCACGGAATACCGAAGAACCGAATGTCCAAAAATTCCTTCTTTTTAAGACCACAAAAAAAGGAAAGGAAAGGGAAGTGTTGTTTTTTGCACTTGGAGGACCTCTTGGGGGTCTTCTTTGGGTCGTCTTCGGGCGTCTTGGGGCTGTCTGGGGCCGCGTGGGGCTCTCGCGGGGCCGTTTGGCCGCCCTCCTGACCGCTCTGGGCCCGCTGGCAAGGCCCGGCAGGGGCGTCCAGGAGGCCCGGAAGGCCCGGGGGACCCCTTGCAAGGCGTCCAGGGAGCCCCAAAAGCGCCAGATCCTGGGGGTCCGATTTTCGGGGGGGGGGGGGTTTTCGCACCCCCCCGGATTGTAAAAATATAGAAAAGGGAATATGAACACATATGAAATTACCGTTCACGTAGGAACCGCCCGCTGAGAATATGAGTGCTGCGGATGGGTTGTTCCCCGGTTGTTTTTCCCAGGCAACCATCTGGCATTGCAGAATTTGTAAGGATGGCTTACAATCGAAATCAAGTGCGGAAGGTCTTCCGAAGCTGACATTCTAGAGGGGTGTCCCCTGGCCAACCGGGGTGCAATTAGCCGTCCGACCAGGGTATACTGAACTCCCCTCCCCTCCCCCCCCCCCTTCCGCAGCACTTTCCCCAACTCCCTCTCCCTCTCCCCCCATCCTCCCCTCCCCTCCCCCGCCCTCCCGGCACCCCCTCCCATCTCTGTCCTCTCGCTGCCCTCCTGCTCCCTGGCCCGCATCACTCCCGTCGCATCCCCTACCACCCTCCCTCCAGCTGCTGCGCTCACGCCGTGCGGAAACTCCGACGTGCGCCTCGGCCGGCACTGCGGCCGACGACGCCAAGCCTACTACACAGAAGCCTGGAAACGAAATGAAAATGCAGTGCCGCGGTCCTCTGGGGGTCAGAAACACAAGCTGCATCCCCCTCCCCCTCTTCCTCCTCCACCTCCCTCCTCCTCCTCCTCCTCCTCCTCCTCCTCGTCCTCCTCCTCCTCCTCCTCCTCCTCCTCCTCCTCCTCCTCTCCATCCGACGTGACTGTTTACAACTCTAATGTGTCTTTGTTTCCCCGCATCGAACATGATGTACTTGTTTCTTTTTCGTCGTTGTCCTCAAGGTGTCGCTGGATGATCTTAGGTGGAATCCTAAACCGGATCCTCTTGCGTCTCCTCCTCGATGTCCTCCTCCTTGATCTTCCTCCCCCTCCCTCCTGCCTCCTTCTCGTCCTCCTCCTCCTCCTCCTGATCCTCCTTCTTATCCTCCTCCTGCCCCGCGATCCCCCTCCTCGATTTGATCCCGCTCCACCTCGATTTTTCTCCTCCCTCACCCCTTCCCCCTCCTCTTCTTCCTCTTCCCGTGGAGACCAAAACAAAAGCAATAAGGTTACTCCCCGGACCTCTCCAGGAGTGCGTTCTGACCAGGATTTAGAGGCGAATCCAGCGGTGGCGACGAGGCCCAAAAAGGCGAAAACGAGGCAACGACAGCGGTATTGGTACCTCCCCCTGCCCTTGCGGAAGAGATCTGAGATCCGCCACCACGTGCACCACGCGCCCTTCGCAAGCGCCACTCCGACGGCACAGTGCCTGGCCAACAGCCGGGCACGCCGCATCGTTGTGCCGGCGTGGTGCAGCCGACCCTTGGGCGCCCCCGATATTTTGGCCATGGACATCGCGCTTCCTTCCCCCTTGGCCCGCCCGAAATGAGAACGGAAGACAGGGGTAGGATGCCCAACAGCAGAGGCTGCCCCGAACTGACAGCGGCCGCTGTTGGGCAGGCGACCTTCACCAGACTATGTTCGTACTATTCCTGACTAGTTCTCCTGTAGTTATGTTGCATCCTCGGGGGACCTTGTCTGTCCCGTCGCGGCCCTGCCCGCGTCGAATGCGTGTCGAATCCATGTCGGACGCGTCGGATCCGTGTCGAATCCGTGCCGGATCCGCGCCGAATCCACGCCAAGTCCGCATCGAGTCCGCCTCGAGCACGCGCCGGGCCCCCCAAAAAGACACCAATTTTTGGGACAGGCGAGGTCCCCCGAAGAGGGAGGAGGAGGAGAAGGAGGAGGAGGAGGAGGAGGAGGAGGAGAAGGAGGAGGAGGAGGAGGGAGGAGGAGAGGAGGAGGAGGAGGAGGAGGAGGAGGAGGAGGAGTTCCCCCGAAGATGCCACAGAGACGCGGAGTGCTCCGCGGCGGGGCGGGGCGGCCGCCAGGAGGGCCTCCTGGAAGCCGAGCGCCAGGGCCGCGGCCCGCTCGGGCTCCGAGAGCACGCCCCAGCGCCTTGCGCGCGCCCCGAAGGGGGACGCCGCGCGCATCCCCTGGGCCACGCGGCTCGCTCGAGGGCGGCCGATCCCTGCAGTCGGAGATGGAGCTGGCTCGTGTCGGATCGCACTGGGCCGAGGTCGGGATCGGAATACATATATATATATATATATATATATATATATATATATCAGAATAAGGGGACCGCACGGTCATTCATTGTCCCTGGGTGCGTGGCTAAAGTGAGAATCCGTGGTGAAGATTTTGTTTGTTGCGTTGTTGCTGCGTTGTGGTTGCGTTGTTGTTGTTGCTGTTGCTGTTGCTGCTGTTGTTGCTGCTGTTGTTGTTGTTGCTGCTGTTGTTGTTGTTGCTGCTGTTGGTGTTGTTGTTGTTGGTGTTGCTGTGGTTGTTGTTGTTGTTGTGTTTGTTGTTGTTGTTATTGTTGTTGTGGTTGTGGTTGTGGTTGTGGTTGTGGTTGTGGTTGTGGTTGTTGCTGTTGCTGTTGTTGTTGCTGTTGTTGTTGTTGTTGAACATTATTACTTCTAAAGAATAATTATTGTTGGGGCCCCTGGTGCACGACCCCCCCGCCGCGCCTAGGCCGCAGCCTCATTTTCATCATTTTCGTGAGGAAGTCTCAGGCAAAACGGGGGTCCGGATCCGGTTGTGTTGTTACGATCGGTTTTCCCTTGCAAAAAATAAGCTAAAGTGGACATTTCTTGTTCTAACATAACCAAACTTCAAGAATCCCTTGCAAAAAATAAGGTAAAGTGGACATTCGCGCGCGCAAGACGAAATCCTTCCAAAACCTTAGTTTTCGTAGCGATTTTAACATAAAAACATCAAAAAAACAATGGTTTTTCAAAAAAAATGTCAAAATTTCATCCCGCGCGCTCTTGCGGATTCGTAGGAAACCCAACACTTTTTAATCATTTCTGTCAAACGGGCTTTTGCGAGCAACTTTTTCGAACTTCTGCAACAACGGTTGCGCACCTGCCAGGGCCATCATCCCTGTCAAATAATACCATGCGGGACACATTCGTTTTTTCTTCGCGCGCGCACGCCGTCGTCGTCGGCCGCGGGGCCCTGAATAGTAGCCACGGTCGTCCGCATGCCACGAAGTGAAGTGTCCGAACGTCATAGGGCGGGAAGCTGGGTGTGGGTGGTGGCGAAGAGTCGTTTGGAAATTTGGTAGAGCTTGAACCGGCCCCCCCACAAAGTGGGGGTATTGCCCGCCTCCTATGAAAACCCTGGCACTGGTGAGAACGGAGTGTCCCCACGTGCTTAAATGTTGTTGTTGTTGTTGTTGTTGTTGTTGTTGTTGTTGTTGTTGTTTGTTGTCGTCGTCCCACCCCACCCGCGACCCACCCGCGACCCACCCGCGACCCACCCCGCGACCCACCCGCGACCCACCCCGCGACCCACCCGCGACCCACCCGCGACCCACCCCGCGACCCACCCGCGACCCACCCACGACCCACCCGCGACCCACCCGCGACCCACCCGCGACCCACCGTCGACCCGGCCCGCGACCCACCGTCGACCCACCCGCGACCCAACCCGTGACCCATCCACATTTTTCTAACAAAAAAATCGGCGCCTCGGCGGGTTTCTTCAGAGCCTCCCAGACTGCCGACGTACCCGCCGCCCCCTCACTCTTATCTGCAACTGCGGGGTGCTACGGTATACATACACACACATATATATAACCCTGGCAAGCAAACAGTAAACCCCCCGGCGATATCGCTAGCACAGAAAATAAAATAAATGATTATTTTGGGCGGCGCCCTCCGGCGATATCGTTAGCACATAAAAAATAGAATAAAATAATTAATTAATTAATTTGCCCCCCCGGGCCCGAAGTTGGCGGCAACGCGAGGCGACAGCCTGAATAACCAACGCGCACGAACGCTTGCCAATGGGTTCCCGCCTTGCTAGAACACTGGGAAACTGACGCGCATCGGAAATCAAAGGTAAATCATAAATGACAAACAATGAAATCACCGCAAGCAACTATACTTGAAAGGACCACCCAAAGGAATCCCAGAGAAATCTCAGAAGGAAACCCACGCAGAATCTCAAAGGACCCCTATTGGAAATTCAAAATAATCTCAAAAAGGAACCCCACAGAAATCGCAAAGGCATCTCAGCGGCAGCTCAAACGAACCACGAAGGAATCTAAGGAATCTGGAAAACGCGGGCTCGCGTGGACATAAGCAAACCCTATTGCGGCCGCAAAAAGGAAACTGTTTTTTTTTTCACGCGGTCCTATGGGAAAGTCCACGGAGGGATATCGCAGACGGATTCCGCGAACCCCCCCGCGATATGTTAGCACATTTATTGAACATAAAATAATCCACAGGCGCCGGAGGTCGATGGGATGCTCCCTTCAGGGATTGTCGAAGGAATGTCAGAGGAACTCGCAAGAACCCCCAAAGGAATCCCATTAGAATATCACAAGAAATCCCACGCACGATATCGAAGGAACCAATGGAAGTTCAAAGCAATCTCAAAGGAGCCCAACAGAAATCGCAAAGGCATCTCAGCGGCAGCTCAAACGAACCACGAAGGAATCTAAGGAATCTGGAAAACGCGGGCTCGCGTGGACATAAGCAATCCCTATTGCGACCGCACTAGGGAAATTGATTCTTTCAGGGGATCCCATGGGAGAGTCCACGGAGGGATATCGCAGACGGATTCCGCGAACCCCCCCGCGATATGTTAGCACATGCACTGAAAATAAAATAATCCACCGCCCCGGATGTCGATGTGATGCTCTCTTAAGCAATGGGGTATCAAACGGATATGACCGGAGCCTCAAGGGACCCCCAGAATAACATCAAAGGAACACAAGAGGAGTCTCAAAGGAGTCCCAACATAATCACAATGGAAACGGCAAGGAATCTCAAAAGAAGCCAATCGGAGTATCAGAGGAATCTCTGACGAATCTCACAGAAACGCACATAATCACAGGAAGCGACTCTGGGCAGGTGTGCCTTGTCGCTGGGCTCTGGACTACAAGGGGACCGGGCATTCAGAGGCTTGTGGAGGCCTTTCTGGATGCCTCCTGGGAACCTCTGGGGACCTCCCCTCCGCGGACCTCTGGCGACCTGCGGGGGATATCGCTTCCGCCCCGGCCCCGGTGCCGGAAGCGTTATAATTTCCTCTGATGAGGGGGGGGGGGGAGGGGGGTTTACTGATTGCTTCCCAGGGTTATATATATATATATATATATAATTTTACATACATACATATATATATATATATATATATAGGGTGTATATATAATGTGTTATATATATATATATATGTATGTATATATCTATATATATATATATATATATATATATATATATCGGATCGGATCGCGAGCAGCCCTGACCGCGTGGATCGCTCAACCTTGGTCCTGAAAACAAACGACACCGCCCCACCTGCGGCCCCATGGGGCTTGGCGTGTACCAGGAGATCAGGACTGTTTTTTGCTCGGCATACGCTGCGGCGCCAGATGGGCCGTAGCGCAACTCGCGGGGCCGTGGAGGTGGGGTGGTGTCGTTTGTTTTTCGGTCGAAACCTTGAACGATCGCGGCTTCCCGGTAGCGTCAAACGTTCGATGTCGGAGCAAGCCGGGCTACCCGCGGCGTCCCGCCTTGAACGCCCGCGCCGTGGTCGCCGTCGAATCGGCACGGCACGAGCCCGCCGCACCGCTCGACCCGACCCGCCCGCCCGGGTTGCGGCCCCGCGCGACGGGGCTCCACGCGCTCGTGTGCTTATTGAGATTTGTGCCACAACGTCCGACCGCCCACTACATTAACGGCATCTGGAATGAGGGATGATCTGGATTAGGCAACAAGCTGCGCAAGAGTGACGCAGAATGCTTGGGTGGGTGGGTAAGGGTCTGATGCAACCTCTCCGCGGTCAATTACCCTACTCATTTTACCCCGGTCCTCGTCGTCATCATTCCTCCTCCTCCTCCTCCTCCTCCTCTTCCTCCTCCTCGTCCTCCTCCCACCTTCCTCCTTCCTCCTTCCTCCTTCCTCCTCCTCCTCCCTCCCTCCTTCCTCCTTCCTCCTTCCTCCTTCCTCCTTCCTCCTTCCTCCCTCCTCCTCCCTCCCTCCTCCCTCCTCCCTCCTCCCTCCTCCCTCCTCCTTCCTCCTCCTCCTCCTCCTCCTCCTCCTACTCCTCCTCTTCCCTCCTTCTCGCACCCGCGGGTGGCCTAAGCCTCCACTTGGTTTTCGTGCACGACCTCGGACCCCGGACGGCCGCTCGGGACGGCTCTGGCATCCCTGGAACGGCCTCGTCGACGGCCCGCTGGTGGAAGCCACCCTCGGCCCCCAGAGCCCTTTCAAAAGTACCCGAAAGCCGCAAGCACAAACGAAACGCCGAAACCAGACGAACCACACACCTTCGAAACGCCCCAGAAGCATAGAACGCCTGTGGAAAAACGCGGTAACAAGTACAGTGGTCTCTTCCCTCCCCCTTCTGAAGGGCGGTGGAGAAGCCCGCGCGCCCCGAACATCATTTTTAACCACCCCCGATCCCCACGGGCGTGGTTTGGGCCCCAGTGGCCGCTTCACCCCCTCAGACGGAGAGGTCGGCTGAGCCCCTCGGGCTTCGAAAGGCCTACAATTTGGACGCCCGAAATGGGCACGGAAAGGATGGGCACTATGCCCAACAACCAATGTTGTCCCAAACCAACAGCGGCCGCTGTTGGGCGGGCGGCCTCCTGTCTCGAATGGACACAAGCCGCGGCGGCGTGGACAGCGGATCTTGTTCAAAATGAACAAGATCCGCTGTTGGGCATAGTACCCATTCTTTCAGTACCCATTTCGGGCGTCCAGATACAATGTGGGAGCGGCCGCAAGAAACCAAACCTGGAAAACCCGCGCGCGAGCTGCGCCTGAGGGGAAACCTGGAACACCCCGAACGAAGCAGCTTCTTCAACGGCCGCGGGAAGTCGCAGCGCAGTGCGCGGAGCGAAAAACCCCGGGATACCCGGACGAAAGGCATGTGGTTTCTTGGTGCGCGTCCCCAGTGTATAACGAACTGGGGCGGTACGAAGGTGGGGCTGAGACGCCATGACCCGGTGGGGCTGGGGATACGTCTAACGAGCTGGATTCGGGCGCCTGTTTGAGCATGGGCGCGCGCAGGCGGTCGTCCTCGTCGTCGTCGTCGTTCGCCGCGCGCGTCTCTCTCCCCTGTCTCTCCTCTTTCTCGTTCCCGTGTCTGCCTCGGCTCTCTGCCCCTCCTCCCTCGCCTCGTTCTCGCCCCTCCCCCCTGCTCTCTTTCTCCCCCCCGCCCTTCCTATACCCTCCCCGCCCTGGGCCTCAATCCCCCCCCCCCCGGCGGCAGCCGGAGGCGGCCAGGGCCTCAGGTCGTTGCAGTTGACCACCCAGCGGGTGGGGCGGGGACTCCCGCCCCCGCCGGCCTGAGCGCGGGGGCGCGGGGGGCACGGCGGGGCGGCGGCGGGGGCCCCGCGGGCGGGCCCGGAGGCCGACGAGGGGAGGAGATGCCCAGCAGGAGGGGGATGAAGAGAAGGAGGGCGAGGAGGACGAGGAGGAGCACGAGGAGGAAGAGGCCAAGGAGGAAGAAAAGGAGGACAAGGAGGAGGAGGAGAAACTGACATGGCGGGGGGCGGCGGCGACAAAGCATGGTGGCAACATGATGTGAGCGGACCCTGTCCTCCTCTATCAAAGATTGGTTCGCTCCAGCGCGTGAGCCATCCGCTTGGAGTCGGGAGGTGTGCGGGCGATCGAACAGCTATGGCGGAGCACAGGAACCGAGAAAGAGGGCATGCCAGAGCTGTCCAATCCCCGTGTACGTGTGCCGCGGCGGCGCGCGAGGACCATGCGCCACGGCCAAGGCGACCGAACGCCGAGCCTGGAGACGAGCTTCGGCAGAGCAGGGCACAAACCCTGCGAGGCGAGGATGTGGAAGGGGGCTCCCTGGACTGGTGTCAGTCACCCTGAGATCAGGGGGGCGTAAGACCCGGGTACAGGGGACTCGGAAATCCCCGACGAGGTCGTCAAAAAAATGACGAGGCCGAGCCTGCATTTCGACGAGGCCTCCCGCTGCAGACATCCCACGAAACTCCTACTCGTCAAAATCCGAGTCGCGGTCGTCAAAAAACGATGGCGAACCCGAGTCCTGGCAAACCCGGGTCTTACGCTCCCCCGATGAGAGCGCGCGGATACAGATGCGCCACACAGCGTCTCACCTCTGAGTCCGTGTCCGTCGGATTCCATCGGCCGCCGTGGGCCCCGCGGCGCCCGCGTCCGGGGTGGACGGTGCCTCCTCCTCGCCCTCTTCTGGCGCTGCCTCCTGTTTGAGCATGGCGGCGCGGGCCTAGTCCCGCTCGCGCTTGCTCCTGAGACCTCCGCTCCGTTTGTGGGCCCTCGCGGGCCCGGCCCAGGGCGTTTCCGTCTCCTTGTCCTTGCCCATGCTGCACTTGTTGGCAGGTTCGCGCAGGCGTGAAGAGGTCGGTCCGGAGGAGTACGTGACCCGAGTCACGGTGCTCCCTTCGAGAGCCAATAACCGGTCGTTGATGCCGCGCTGTCAACTGCGGGCCGCTGCTCGACCAGCCCTATCTTGATTCGTCTTGCTTCTGCTGCTCATGCTCAAATCGGTAAATCATCGGCTATCTTCTTACTTCTTCCTATCATCTTATTGCTTGCCGAAACGGGATGATCGGGCCGACGAGCAGCCGGGGGCGCGGCGTGTCGGGCGCCGGCAAGCAGAGCAGCTGAGCTGTCCGAGACGCGCTAATCTTAGACTCATACTGAGCAGCAATCACTGCTTCCCTATCCAGACCAAAGTGGCCTCCCAGTTTCATGTGCAGTTCTTGCAGCGCTTCTGCCTTGACTCGCTCGGCTTGCGCGCGCGCTGCTCCGGGGCGCGACCGTCGCTCGGCGCGGCAACCTTTCGGTGTCCAGGCGCTGGGTTCTAGGTTCTAGCGAGCCTGGCATGCGACGCCGGGCGGGCGCGCGCTCCAAGCTGCCACCGCGTTGGATCGACGTCGCGATCTGAAGCCGTCTTGGGCGGCGATAGAACGTTTGGTTCGGACGTGAGTACCAGCCGGCAGAGACGGATGGCAACCAGTCTCGCGCATCTGGGGGCGTGACCTTGGCCATCGCGGCGTCGAACTCAGTGGCGAACTCTCGGCTGCCCGTGGCCCGTGGCACGCCGTTGCGCGCGCGTGCAAATGAAATCTCATGGATGAGGTCGAGGGCGCGCGTGCACTTCCTGTCAGCAAAAAATACCGGGGGCACCACGACCCAAACGAGTCCGCATTTGCGCGGGGCGATATCGTTGAGAAATGCCGACATGTGGGCGGAGATGCAAGCCATGAGATGCATTGTGCAAGCGGCCCAGCCTCGCCGCTCGCGAGGTCGCGCCACACCAGGCGCAGGCTCAATCGCGCGAACAAATTCCGCGCGCGATGGGCCCCCGGCAAAAAAGTGCGCCGGGGCGGCCCGCGCGGGTCCGTCGGCTCAATGAGGGCCGCGGGCGGGCCGCCGCTCGGCCTTCGCTGGGGAGGCAGCTGCTGCTGACGGCGCTGGGTCCTCTACCTCCGACTCTGTCTCGTCGGCGCGGGCGCGCGGCGGCGCGCGTCTGTCTGAGACTCCGCCAGTTGACTGCGCAGTTCTTTCGAAGGCGCCGATGACCGAGACGAGGTGTCCGCTCGGCGACTTCTGCAGCGGGGCGCAGACTGCGCCTGCCGGCCGCGGGATCTGCGCATCGCCAACGCCTCGGGGATCAGTTCGCGGTCGCCTACGTCCAGGATTGCGCGCGTAGACTCCGCGCTGGAAAGACCCAGTAGTCCAGGTAGCTCGCGGCCTGAGCCACGCGCGATGGGCGCTGCGAAGCCGCGGAGTGCGGCGCGGCCCTGATCATCTGCGACGACCGCGGGGGCGCCCGCGTGGCGGGCGCGCTCTCGCCCCCCCTCGCCGACGCCGCGGGCGCTCAAAAACTTGCTCGTGCGGAATGGCCGCGGCCAGCGCCCCGGTTCAACGGCGCGTCGGCGCGGCCGGCGCGCGAGTGTCTCTCCCACGAGGTTGGCCCACGTACCTGGGTCAACGATCGCCCCGAGCTGCCCGCGGCAAGCCGAGCGCGGCCGCGGCGTGTCTGAGCGGCGCGCTCGGCGGCGGGATCGCTACCGCCGGGGATGCACTGGCAGATCGGCTCCAGCATCTTGTGGCGAGCCTCGTGATGACGGCTGTCCCCGCGTGGATGCTGGCCTGCTGAAGACGATATTGTATGTGAGCTCCCTGAGGTAGAGTCGGCGCCTCGCCGGCAGGCGTTTTTGGACGGGGCGCGGAGGCAACGCTGATGCGCGTGACCTCCCGCGCCGCGAGTTGCTGTCTGCGCGTTGAGCACTGCGAGAATGATGCTCGCGTCCGGTCGCCTCGTCGTTGGGCCTCGACGGCCCTGGGCCGGGGGTGGCTGAGGCTCGCGGCGGTCCAGACGTCGGCGCAGCTCTGATGAACTTCATGATCGCAACGAGGAATATTCAGTGCGCACATCCACAATTCAAGTACTCATCCGAACGGATGCCACACATTGTATCTCCATCCACCTCCACGCAAGTGCCTTCTGGTTCGGGTCGCGGATGCTCGGGAAGAGTTGGCGGTGCCGCTGTCGGCGGTCCAGCCACGGCCAGGTTGTTCTATCTGCGCGTTGCTCTCTGTCTCGCGGCAGGCAATGGCCGAGAGTCGTGCCGGGATCTCACGGGCTAGGTCGCGCGCGCAGATGGCCAGATGGCCCTGGTGGCCGTGGTCGGGACCTCGGCGAGGCGCGCATGACCGCGGCGCTGCCACTTGACAGGCGCGGCGGCTTGCCCAGGCTGGCCCTGCCAGAGCCTAGCTAGCAAGCTAAATGCGCAGGGGGGGATGGAAACGCGCCCGTCGTCCGGGGGCCGCGAGTTGCCCTGCCGGGTGAAGGGGTGCCCTCCAGGCTGTCGCGTTGATCTACGACGGTGAATTCGCGGGCGCCCCGCGGGGCCGACGTCGCGGAAGCTGCGCGGGCCCGCGGGCTCCCGGGCGCGATTGACTCGACGCCGCTGCCGGTTCCTAGGCTGCGCGGGCAGCGCCAGGGAACGGCGGCAGCGCTGGAAGTTGCGGTCCCGAGGACAGCGCGGCAGCAAGAAAATCTGAAGTGCAGGCAGCGCGGGGGGCGCGTCTGCGCGCGCGCGGATCTGGGCGATGGGCAGCGGCGCTGCCGACCAAGAACCGCGGGTCGACTGGGGCGTCTGCCAAGGGCCCTCGGTAGCGGGCTGCACTGGAGGCCGGCCTGGCCCTGACCGCGGTTGCGGAGGAGATTCGGCAGCCATGAAAGCGACCCCTGAGATGGCCTAGGAGAGGCCCCGCATCCATGGTGTCACCGATAATCCCCGAGCCGACATGGCCTTCGAAACTCGGGCCACCTGATCGGGCACCTGAGCTTCCAGGCGTTCAGCTCAGAGGGAAAAATCCGAGCGGCAGAAGCTGCGCGCCATTGCGCCCCCGCCGCGCCCCCGAGGGCCCTTCTTGCGGCCCTTGCCTTTGCAGCTGGAACGCTCGCGGTTGCATTCGCCTGCGCTGCCGCCTCCGACGCAAAAGCCGCCGACCTGGTCGTCGGTCAGCTGGCCGACGCCCCTGAAACGCCCTCGCCTACGTCTTCGCCCTTGCCAGAGCAAGAGCCCCCGGCATGCTCGATGAATCCGCTAACTTCTCTGGTGGGCTTGTTCGCGCGGCCTCGCCGCTGACGCGCGTGACGCTTCATGCCAGAAGAGTTAGGCGTCGATCAGAACTGGGGATGAGCTTTTCGACCGATCCGAGGAAGAACCGATATCGCCTCCGAGGTCTGAGCTGGTGCCGGAGCTAATGCCGCCCGCACATTCGAGGTTGGCCGGCGCTTCCTCGGCGCGCGGCCGCGCGCCTGCAGGATCTGCGGCCTCGGCCGAGAGCTGCCGGCGCAAGCGTGGGCGCCTGAGGGTTCGGCAGCGCTTGCAGCGCAGGGGTTGACCTCTTGTGAATGCCGATGGTCATCTGCGCGTGCGTCGTTGCTGTCGCCAGTGGTCACGCCTGCGAAACCTCCGAAGAATGGCGGCGAACGGAGGGCGCCGGCGATGTCCTTGGGCGCGCGCCCCGCGATATGACCAACACGCCTGAACATAATCGTGGACCGTTTGCACCCCGGCCCCACTGCTGGACATCGGTCGCCGCGACGCTGGAACGGCGTCGCGAGTTGACTGGCGGCGGCGCCGACCGCTCGGAGGAGCAGCCGCCCGTCGCAGCTCCACCGCCGTGCGTTGATCGGAATCGCAGTGCGAGGAGCCGCGAGGGCAGCGCGTCGGTGGCCTGGTAGCGTCGCCTCGTGAACTCGAAGAGCTCGCGGGCGGCCTGCAAACGTGAGTCTTCGCCGCGCGGTCCGAGCTGCCCCGCGACGCTCACA